TGGAATTCACGGAGAGCGGTATTTTTTTATTTTTTTTTTTGGCTGGGAGGGTATGTTTTTTTTTTTTATAGGAGGGTGGGGGACATCGAAGGGTAACTCCCTATATTTTTTTCAATTTTGTTTTTCACAAATACTTTTTTTTTTAATTAAAAACGGAAAAAAAAAATCAATCAGCCAAAATAAGCATTTTCGTTTGCTATTTTGTAGGTCATTTCGATTTTGTTTTATTTTTTCAATGTCATCACGCTGTGGGGCTTGAGGAGAATTTACCTGGGGGAGCCCAAAAAAAAAAAAAAAAAAACATCACTCTTTAGTGGTCAGCCCGTTCACCGTGAACGACCGTTCACAAAGAAAACACCAAATGAACGTTCAAGTGACCGGTGCCGGTTACGTTCACGGGTCCGGCACTGGTACCAGACATTTGCTTTTCATTTGACATTATGTAGCTTAGGCTGCATCGCATGGACTCCGCATGGAGCTTGCTTCGCATCCTAGATTTCTCAGCTTTCTTTATTGCAAAGTTTCGCTGCTTTGCGGATAGCGTGTTTATGGCTCTTGCGATCCATTACAGGTCTTAGGATCGTGCAGCGGGCCTTCATCTGCCCTGGCCTGCAGCCAGGGCGTATATGGCTATTTGCCAGTTCGGCCTGTTGGACCAGACCGTGGCCTGACCCCACAGGCCGTGCACTGTTTCAGTCCAGTCCCGTCCTGCCCGGTACCACTGGCGGTACCAGGCCAGTCCAGTCCAGTCCAGTCAAGTCCGTCCGCTGGGGGTATACGTCAGCTGTTGTCTGTTTTTCGTCATTCATCATTTTTGCACTTGTTGGAGTACGGGCGGTGTTAAGTCTGTGTCGGAGCTGCGCAGTCCCTTCCTGCTCCATCTCCACTTCCTCTTTCCTCTACCCCTTCGTCTCCATCCTGTCGGACCGCCATCCCCGCGGGTCCGGCACACTGTAGTACCCCATGTGGAAGTCATTGGGCCGGTATTACCAAACGGCCGAGTTTCGGGCACCCAAAACCAAAAAGGTTTTGGCGTGGGCGCTTTGTACAGATTATCCCTAAATTTTTGGACCTGTTTACAGCCAAATTACTTGGTTTCAATTTCGTTCAAAAAAAGGAAAAGTCCATTTTGACGAAATGGCAGTTAAAGTAAACCTGAAAGGATTTGATTAAACAAACGGAAATGAGGACGCACAGACAAATGGATGAAGGATAGAATAGACCTCTGTCTGTCAAATGATTCAAATCTTTGAAACCAGAAGCAAAATAAGAACAGCCTGGTAGTTTGGCAGATTGTAGCAGAGAGACTCAGAGAAAGGGCCTAGCCACACTACTCCCGACTTGGCCATTTTCGGGAGTGCAGCATGGTGCTTGCATCGCCACACCAGCTCCCCAGTTCAACCTGTCAGATTGAATTCGGGAGCTGTCAGAATGTGGCTCCCAAGAGCACTCCCGAGCTCACCGCCTGCAAAGCTTTTTTTTCGAGAGACCTCCTTCGCTCCTCCGAGTTTCATCCCAGATTCAGGAGTGGAGCCGGAAGGGACAAAAGGCATCTGCCAGACCGCTTCACGCTGATCGTGTCCATATGTGGCAAATGCCATTTTCAGACTTTGAGCGTGGCCGAGGGTGTAGTGTGGCGAAAGGCACTCCTGAGCGGGTTCTCACTTCCGGGAGCACTCCCGAAAATTTTCCCAAGTCGGGAGTGGTGTGGCGAGGCCCAAAGAGACGAGTTGAATCACCTCGAATGTGAAAGAAAGTGGGAAGGATTTTTATTTTTTTTTTGTTTGTTTGTTTGTTTGTTCGTCTGTTGGTTTGTTTGTTTGTCTGTTAGTTTGTTTGTCTGTTTGTTTGTTTGTTTGTTTGTTTGTTTGTTTGTTTGTTTTAGACAAGCACAGTCCACAACATACAAAAAGAAAAAACAGGACGGTGAGGAGAAGTAGAGTGGAGTAAGGAAAGGGGCAGGGAAGGGCAGAACATAAGAGGGAAAGAGCTGACTAATGAAGGAGCACCCTTACGCCTGTGGACGTAGACACCCCTCAGGGGGGACTGGCATGCAGCACTTGCCCTTGGACCCAGGCCCCACTTAACAGGGATGTCATCCTGGCCAGGAAACACCCGACGGTGAAGTACCCAGACACACAGGATTGTAGCCCCGAGGGAAGCCAGGCAATGGCAGGCATGGGGCAGCACGCACTCTGTGTGTCACCCAATAGAGAAACCTTGCGAAATTACAGCCAAACCTCTGCCCTAAGTAAGGGATTTCACAAAGTGAAAACTCCACATAATTATCACAAAGATGTGCAGCAGCAGCCGGAGTAGCTACAGCAGCAGCACAGAAAAATCCCAACAAGGATGTCGGGATGAGGAAGCTGACGTGGAGAGAGAGAGAGAGAGAGAGAGAGAGAGAGAGAGAGAGAGAGAGAGAGAGAGAGAGAGAGNAGAGAGAGAGAGAGAGAGAGAGAGAGAGAGAGAGAGAGAGAGAGAGAGAGAGAGAGCACGTGCTAGAAAACAGGTCCAGCGTCCCATGTACATAGATCAAAGTACAAACGCATAGTATCGGTTCACATACATCCCAAACCTCTTCTCCAACAAGAGGCAGCAGACCTCCTTTGGGCTAAGATCAAGTATAGTATCTGTTCTGATCAGTCCAATATCCGATGCCAAAGAAAAAAACACAAAGAGGTCCAGCTTAATCACCGGATATGCTGGTCAGTCAGTCTGAGTCAGATGAAGAGACCTCAATTCATCATGCAAGCAAAGGAAAGCGCTTCCCGATCTCTTCTTCAGGATCGGCGGTGTCTGCTTGGCCGCTCGCGACAGGAGATAGCCTTGTTAGAGAGCTGTTCTCCTGTGCGCTTGTGCTCTCTACTCGTCTGGCTTGAGATGCATCGTGAGTGCTGCTTTCCGTACTAGGCACTCCTGAAGTGGAGTCTGATGTCTCTTGGACATGCTGGGCACTCGTAGATCAAGATCCCAATTGGGCCAATTCTCCTTTGTGCTGACTCTGCTGAGCACTTGTGTTTTCACCGTAAGGGTCACTTGAACCAGGATCTTGCCTCCCAGCATCACGTGCGTCCCCACTACTGGACGCCTGCTGCATGGACCTGTCAATCCCATCCGTCTATAGAATGGGTCTGCCCGAAGGGGGTGCATCCGCCGCATCACCCTGGTTGGTATCTTCTGCGCTGCTCACGTTCTGCTTCCTGGCCAGCTCCATGCTGCGACTCTTGCGAGTTTGATCACTATCCTCAGGCAATAATTTCCCCCTCCCCCTCCCCTTCCCTTTTTGTCGCCTATTGTGAGAAAGCTGGCCGACAGTGTCATCTCCATCCTGGTCCCCGCTTCCTACCCCTGTGGCTCCAGCCCCTCCGATGGTCAGCGGGTGAGAAGGTGGCCTTGAAGTTGGCGTCCCCTGTTTTTGCCTTCCCGTACCCACTTGACGCCCCCTCGCCTGAGGATTTCGCCTGCCCGTGGGTTCGTCCTGAGGCCTGTTTCCTGTCTCTTGTTGCTTCCGGTTATCGTGCGCTTGGAGAACATTTAGACAAGCAGTCAACACTTCTCTCTCTTTCGGCTGGAGCGGCAATGGTGGACTGCTTCTCACCTTACCCTGTATAAAAGGTTTAATGTCGTCAAGCAACCTAGTAATTTTGTTCTTGATCTCCTCGTTCCAATCTGGAAGTGCGAGAACTAAATGCAGCTGAGGAGCTGGGACCTGACGCAACCGAACCAGTCTATGGATAAGCAAGTCGATTTCCTCCACGCTGAGCTTCTCCCAGCGAGAATCAATGAGATGATCCAACAAACGCAACGCGTTTCTCGCTCCAAGAAGGATATTCACGTTCCACTCCAGGTCCTCCATGATGTTGTCGCCGGAAACAATGGTTATAGCCTCCATAGGTCCACAAGGTGGATGCCAGGCTGGATGGCTGAGTGACTCTACGAAGAGCAGGAAGTGGGCTGAGATATGTTGACACAACCTCTGTGCGCAAGCTTGGCCCTTTTCGACCCTGGCAAAACAATGCCTCTGCGCTTGCGCCGCTCCATTAATCAAACTCTGACCTAGTGGCTTCAGATTGATGAGATTCATCAACATCTGCATTAGACTGAAAAGGAATGCCGAGACGTTCTGATTGAGTAAGTCTCTTGTCTCCCTATCGCCTCCGCTAGCCGTGGTGATGATGTCTTGCAACAGCCCTGCAGCAGGGGCTGAGTACCGAATGGAAACCTGCTCATCCCCGGTCCAACTCACGTCGGTGACATGCCTGAACAAATTCCTGAATACGCCCTTGGAAGCGCTAGAAGAGGAGCTAGCTGCAGCGACCTGAACCTCGGCGGAGGGCCCCCTACCTCCATCCCCCCTGCCTCCGTCCCCAGACAAAGGCGCCACCGGTGCGTCAGAGGTGTCTTGTTCGGTGTCTATTCGAATAGCGGCAATCCTTGGGAATAGAGGTTGGAGCATTAGAGTGAGGCATTCAAGCCCCCCAGGCGAGTCCACAATGAACCTCCTGATTTCCGCTGGATTGTGAGAACTTCTTACCACATCTCTGAGCATCTCCACAGTTTCACACACCAGCCAATCGAGCTCCTTGGCACCCAGTGCTCTCCTCCAATAACTCAAGCACAACAACAGCACCTGGACCACGTTCTCGTCATTATCCCTTATGTCTTGAGAGATGGCCATCTTTGCTAGCTGCAGCTTGGAGAAAACGGGCACCGAAAATAATGGATCATCCTCATCGCAGCACCGGACAACCAGGCTTTTCAGTCCTTCTGGCAGATTTGCTGAGGCTTTGACAGAGCTGATGTTGATGAAAAGCTCAGGCAGCTCCACGTGCCGCATATCGAACCGGTGCCAATAGATCATCCTGGGGGAGAAGAGAGAGGAGAGAGTCCTGATGGAGTCAGCCACCACCTTGCGCGGGAAGTCCGACGGACGGCTCGCACAGTGCAGTAGGGTATTCAAAACGATGCCATCATCGGCACGAGTTAGTGCCCACCGTACTGTCTCCAACCACTGGAACCAGCCGTCACAGCTGTATTGAAATGGAGTAAACTTCCCTTCCAGGAACCATCCGAGAGGACAAAAAGTGGTGAACGCATTACTAAGCGTACGCATGTGCTTCGTAAGTTCGTCATCACCATTAACAATGCCGTTCCATTGTGCACGAGGTAGTAGTGCAACATGCTGTAAGTGTGCGGCAATGTCACTGGCTGCGTGCGCATACGAACAGATTGCGGATACGAGAGCTTCTTGCAGCCGCTGAGTGCGTTGCAGATTGCAATCGTCTTTCCCTTTTGGAACGATCGTTCGCTGCATCAACTTACCCAAGTGCTTAAGCACTTGCCTTGTACAACAGCAGAAGTCTTCGTGCTCCAGCATTTCTACGATCTCCTGTGACTGGCCAGGTTGCCAGGTCAGGACCGACAGACCTGCAGCAAAGCCTGACAAGATGGAAGCTGCCAGGGGTAAGCCGTCTGAGTCCTCAGGGCAACATTTCAGCACCTGCAGCATCACAAGGTAGCCTCCAGCTAGTGCAAAGTCCCGCCCTGCGTCCACGTCATGCCTGCAACGACTAGTCTGAGGCAGATCCTGTAGATAGCTTGCGGTCTCATCGTGTAAGGTACTATCTTCACAATCAGACAGCCTCTGCTCTCTGGACAGATCAAGAAGAGATTCCAAGGCCATCGTCCGCTCCTTCCTGGCCCTCCCTCCTCGCAGCCTTGACGCCGCAGACCTATTCTCATCTGCCAGATCATGCACGTGATCTCCAACCTGGTTTACGAGTTCCTTCACGGAGTAGAACCAATAACCCTGAAGTCCGCACTGCTCCTTGTCAGCCTGAGCTTCGGCTGCAGTGAATCCCGAGTGCCGATGACAATGCACATACCAAGCCACCCCGGTCTCCATGGTCCTCTGTGCTCGCTCTACGCGCTCCATCAACGCCCCCGGGCCTGAGGGCGAGCTGCCGTCCCGCTCACGGCAGCTGGTGCTTCCCCAACAGCCTATGTTGGAAAGTCGTTCCGATAGAAACCGCCAGAGGACGGAAAAGAAGATAATCAAGACGACAAAAACCGAGTGTGCGACAAGACAGGCAAACGTGAACATGATGCACTCTACTACGCGCCTGCAGCCCGCATCCTTTTTGTAATCGGGATTTCTCTTGAACTCGTCGATACGAAGGTACAAAAGAATTCCCAAAGACAGTTGAATAATCATAACAATGAAGCGGAAAACAGCGATGATAAAAAAATAACCCAGAGTTACACGGAACCGACCACCGAGGACTGTGTACGTTCCAAGATTGTATCTGTCCGATGTGCCCTGAGCTGTTGACACTTGGCAGCAGGACATACCATGGAAAAAGAAGCGATGAATGCGTCCTCGGAGATACTTGGAACTGCCTTCAAACAGCGACATAGCCACGCCTGTGCAGAAAATCCATGCTGTCATGAACTGTCCCAGCGCGCCAACTGCGATTGCCATCACAGAGAGGGGTAGGTAGCCCATAGCACTCTCAATCTTCTCCAAAACAACGTAAGCCTCCACCTGGCGTTTCACACAAGGAGCTGCTGCGTACACCATTCTGCCTTGTAAATTTGTACTCTTGTCCCTATATTATATGTATGGTATTTGGTCACTGAAAATCAGACGAAACAGTCTGTCACAGTCGTCTTCTCCCTCTCTGGAATAAATTTTGCTTCTGCTTCTGCTTCCGCTCTCTCTCTCTCTCTCTCTCTCTCTCTCTCTCTCTCTCTCTCTCTCTCTCTCTCTCTCTCTCTCTCTCTCTCTCTCTCTCTCTCTCTTGTGCTCTTTGACGGTCAAGTCGTGTTCCGATCATAATCTCTCCTTTATTGCAAGCCCTTCAAGTGCAAGGAGAGATGCCATCACTGAGACAGAGCACCAAAATAACACTTTTCGATTTAGGAGAGGTTCTAGACATGAAGACGATAAGATTCGAGTGAAATTACGGTCGCACGTGTGCATCATAAGCGAGTGACACTATAGGACGTAGTTCGGCAAGGATGGATGTCTTCTGGAGCTCTTCAGCGAGCCCAATTCGTCGCCTTTCTCTCCCTACGAAGTTAGCACAAAGTTCACAAACTCAATCGTCCTCTATCCCAAGCTCAAACAGTAGTCTACAACTCCCTGTACTCACGGGCACGTAACCCCCATCAGCATCTCTCATTTCCTTGAAATCCACTTGAACAGCCATGAGCGCAAGCTCTCCCCGCATTTCGCAACCACCAATTAACACAAGGACAGCGCGCACAGGCCTACACCGCCAATCCTTCCAGTCTCGCTGTATTACCATCGCACATTCATCACAAATGACGGTTTATGCACACAAAACGTGCATTCAGCACTCCTTGCCTATCGTCTTCACACTTAACCTTTCATTCTCTCGGAATCTCTCCCTTTCCGACGGAATCCGACCCGATTGTACCAAGAGATTTGCACTAAGCCTTGCGACTGCTGACAGACGTCACAGAATGGACAACAACGAATGCCGCCTGTGCGCTCTGCTCACAGCTTACCTGAGATATGTTGAACTTGAACGCTTCCTAACTTCCCACGCTTCTACGTCTGCTTCTCTCTCTCTCTCTCTCTCTCTCTCTCTCTCTCTCTCTCTCTCTCTCTCTCTCTCTCTCTCTCTCTCTCTCTGTGTCTCTCTGTGGCCCGCTCGCTCGCGTGCTGCCTAAGATGTGTTCACCTGTTAACGCTTCATGGGTCATCACTGAACCAGGAATCGAACCCGTAATCTTGCAGAGATACTAGGGTTCCACTTCACTAACTGCCAGATTCTCCGGGGTATACTCCGCTTGCATTTTCATCACTCACCAGGAAGGAGTGCTGATGATGATGTGTTCGTATTCCCTTTGTTCCCTTCATTTTATTCAAAATGCTTTTTCAAATGCATTTTTTATTTTCCGAATAGGGCTTTTTTAAAAAAATGACCTCATCGATTCCGGGGGCTGCGGCGGGGCGGACGGGAACGACCAGAAACGCAGGCTAGGAGACATCACCAATCATGGCCTAATTGCTGTGTACGTTCCAGCCGAAAACCTATAGTATTGGGCTTATCGGCGTTATCGCAACACCCTCTCAGAGGCTGTCACGATCCTTCGTCTGTCCCAGAAGAAGTGACAGGAAAACAGGAGGACTTTGAAGTAGAACAAAAACAACTGAAAACAAGAGGTAAAACTAAGACTGCATCAAATGAAACGGAATGATCGCTGAAAAGGGATAGATCAATATCTATACTCGTCTGAACGGTCATGGGTGGGTTTGCCGGCTCGCCCTTCAAAAGATAAAGAGACACAGAACGGTTCTACACCGGCAATATGAACTAACGGCGGGAATTGGCCATGGTGATTAACGGCGACAACCAGGCGCAAACGAGCAGCAAACGCGTCCGATTTCAAAAGCAGAATGAATGTACCAGCGACTTACGTTGAAATCCGGAAGATAGAGAAAAGATCAGGATCGCCCCTACTCCAGGACGACATACACCCAAATATGTATAGAGGGGGCAAAAAGAACAGGGGAGAGAGAGAGAGAGAGAGAGAGAGAGAGAGAGAGAGAGAGAGAGAGAGAGAGAGAGAGAGAGAGAGAGAGGNGAGAGAGAGAGAGAGAGGCAGCAGGGAGGGGCGTGAGGTAGAACTAAGGACGAGCGAAGATGGCGTACTCCGTATCGCCGATGTGGATGAGCGGAAAGGCAAGCAGAGGCGGAGATAATAGAATCGAGAAACTCAGCCAGCCGCTGGAAACAGAGACGCTGTTCGCGTGGAGCGAGCGAGCGAGCGAGGGAGAGAGAGAGACAGACCGACCGACAGACAGACAGACAGACACAGAGTGAGACAGAGAGAGACAGAGAGTTCCCAGAACCGTGTCATCCCTCCACAGGTACGGGCAGCGACTACTTCCCCCTTTACTTCGTGCGGCAATCGTTATCCACCTTCTCAATGCTCCCTGGTCAGCTCTGTCGCTCCGCACCTTTCGACTTTCTCTCAATGGTCCGGTCTGTCCTGCGAAATCTTGAAACGAGATCTCGCCGTCGAAAATGATGCACGACATGCCCACAAAGTTCGACTCTGACGCAATGGAATTGTAGGCGACGGAGAGTCGACGATGTACTCTGTTCTCCCCTTCACGCAAAGCTTTCTTCCACTTCTTTCGACCTTTCCACTGAGGCACTTATTCCTGGCCACACTCGTCGCCCACCAATGTGCATTCGACGTCCGCGATCCCGCACACCAAAATTGTCAAACACCCCCCCGCGGTCTCATTACTATCGACCCGTGAGACTCACTAGTCCGGAGACAAGATGCTCGATTCCTAGGGCAAACCCGAGAGAGAGAGAGAGAGAGAGAGAGAGAGAGAGAGAGAGAGAGAGAGAGAGAGAGAGAGAGAGAGAAGTAGGAAGGTATAGAAATCCAGTCGCAAGGGGTAATCAGACGCTCACACGGTGCGCCGTTGAGGACAAGAACGTCAGACTCACCGGCGAAATCTTTTCCTCTATTTTGGGCCGAGGAGGACAACTCGATGTCTACTTATAAACAACGTCGGTGTCAACTTCATACAGTCAAACAAGACGTAATTTCCTCTGTGTCCTTTCTATTCGTCACGTTTACCCTTCAATCCCCATACTCAACGCCATTCTGAGAACGACTTCGTCTTGGCAGAGACTCGAGAGTGTATTCCATCGTCCGAGGACGCAAATCATTCCGTCCTTCAAGAATCAGAGAACGTTTCTTTCATGCATACTTACTTAAGCTTGCATGATGATCAACAGATTCGACAAGAAGAATCTTCAGAACGACGCGAAGCTTTTAGCTATGTCGAGACATCACCGACCTGCTGAACCTAAAGACACTTCTGAGTCTCGCCCGCCGTCCAGCCGTCGCAGCCAGTGATTAGACGCTCACCTGAGTCACCTCCCTTCCGCTTGCGACTACTTAACCCCGGATCACGAGGGAAGCCTTTAGCTTCAATTTTTTTTCAAACAGATAAAAAAGACAACGAGAAGTCCCACCCATCCTGCAGTCGGTGATTAGACCCTCACCGAGTCATGCCCCCCCCCCCTTGCGCTTGCGGCTGCCTTAACTCCGACGTAAGACGGAAGCTTTAAGCTATGGCATCCCTGCTGAACGACAAGCGGAGAACGGTTCTTTAAAAAGACAGAGATGTCGGCAGCTTCAGATTGAAAAAAAAATGTTCAACAATTCAAGAGCAACGACACGAAAGAAGCATCGTCTATGTATGTATGGCTATGGCGGAAGCTTGAGGATAAGTAGTTGACGAAGACCATCGATGAACGGCTATGTAGTTAACGAAGACCATCGATGAACGGCAATGGTGGAAGCTTTAGAGGAATTAAATACTCCACAAAAGACCATCGAGACTAGAAAACCTTCTTTCTTTTTCTTTTCTCTCTCAGAGGAAGCTTGAAAATGAAAAGCTCGAGAGTATCCTTGATACATAGCGATGGCGTGGAAGCTTTAGGCGAAGAAGATGACAAGACCATCGAGAAACGGCGATGGCGGAAGCTTTAGGAGACGACCACGAAGAAGAAGAAGAAGCAGCCGACAAGACCATGGACAGCAGCAGAAGAAGAAGAAGAAGAAGAAGAAGAAGAAAAAGAAGAAGAAGAAGAAGCCGACTGTGACGACGACAGGACAAGTCAAGGAAACGGCGATGGCGGCGGAAAGGTGGACAGCACCATCTCTAATCAGGGAGATGGGGAGCGCCTCCACTTCTAATCATCAGAACAAGGAGGTCCGTCAAACCCCTCAGACGATCTCTGATGCACAGTGCAGAAAGAAAAAAAAAGGGAGACAGGAAAAGAACACTATTCACTATTTGAGCGCAGACAGACCACCACTTTATGGGCCTCGCTGCACTACTCTCCAAATGTGCAAAATGGAACTGAATCCACCCCTAGAACATGGAAAGATACATCGTCGTCTCTTTTGTCTTTTGTGCATGAGGAGAGTAGTGCAGCGAGGCCCTATATCTATTCTTTTTTAATGCGACCATTTCGACTTTTTTTTTCTTTTTTTTTTTTTTTTTTTTTTGGAGCATTTCTCGATTTATGTGTGGCATCCTTGCGCAGGGGCCACGCTCTCTGTATGGTTCCAATTTTAACGGATGTCCCGAAGGACATTTCGACAATCGACAAGTCTTAAGGGCCCCATCCCCCTGGCAAAGAGGATTGGAATAAGAGTGTCTGAATCAGGACATGTTCCACGCAGAGATGCAGAAAAGAAGATCAATTACAGTTTTTTGCACCTCTCCACAAACACGTCCAGATTCAGACTCTTATTCCAATCGTTTTTGCCAGTGGGATCTGGCCCCTACAGTCTTCCCCCGAATACAAGTACGGTCATTATAGCCGAATTTGGTCTACCCTTCAGTCTAAATTCAGCTATAATGACCGTCCCTTGTATTTGGGGGAAGCCTGTAGAGTACTGTCTTCCCTCGAACACAACGCACCCTCATTTTGGCTGTACCTGACCGGAAACATAGCTTGTATACATTCATTTTGGTGCGTTATGTTCCGACCTTTTAGGGGGCCGGGTCCGACATCGGCTGCCATTTCGTTTAGTTTTAGGCCTTCCATCGGGATCGGGCCGTCGTTTCGTTTAGGCCTCCTAAGAGGTCGGGGGCCCACTGAGAGGCCCACTATTTTCTCAACCGACACAGGTATTACCCCCTTCCCCCAAACACTACGCACCCTCATTTTGACTGCATCGGGCCGGAAACATGCCTTGCATACGTTCATTTTCAGGGTGCGTTATGTTCGGAGGAAGATGGTAGTGCTCGCATGATCCCACTGAGCTGGGGACAAGTCCACAACCAGCGTTTGAAAAATGTGGACATGTCCTTGGGGACATCCGTGAAAATTGGAACGATACAGAGAAGGGTAAGTTTACCAAGTGGCCCCTTCGCAAGGATGACACGCAAAGTCACGCATAAATCGAGAAATGGTCCAAATTATTAAAAAAAAAAAAAAAAAAAATGTGGACGTGTTTGTGGACATGGGCGGAAATCGGATCGGTGCTTGGTCTCTTTTCTGTAAGATCTTGAAGCGAAGCTGGGTAAGGCTCCCAGAGAGATTAGCAGGAGATCSGGGATATGAATTCCTCAATAGTTCTTGGCTGTTTTGCTCCCCCTATTCTGAGTCCTAAAAGTATTGCTCCAGTTGCTCCCTTTCTTGTAGTTGCAGACCAGGGGACGCTGGACCCCGTTTCCAGCACAAGCTTCTTTACTGTCGACATGCAGTAAAAACAAAAATCATGGCCGTGTATCTCTCAAAAAAAAAAAAAAAAAAAAAAAAAATCGGAGGGGGTTTAATTTTTTTTTTTTTTTTTTTTTTAAAGCTATATTCTTCTCTCAATTTTTTTTATTTTTATTTTTTACAGTCTTCTATCAATTTTTTTAATTTTTTTTTTACAGTCTTCTCTCAATTTCACCTCACACTACCTACCTACCACTACCCCTAATTGTAGGCATACGAGGAACCCCGTAGCAGCCAGAACCGTGTTCACGAGAGAACATGCGGGGGCTGCTCCCGACCTGCAGGTGGGCGATACCGGCTATCCTCGACAGCACACTCCGAAAAACGTCCAGATTCTGGCGTTGAGGAAAAACTTCAACGTCGTTAGGGGGCCCTGGATGGTGGTGCCGCATCCGTTCATGCGGTATGACTGGGTTAAGACAGCCCACAAGGAAGCTGCGGCTCATTTTGCCGTACGGATCACGGAGTCCGCTATC